TTCCCTTGGCTCGTGGCACTGCACAGCCTCCCACGACACAGAAAAACATCATTGTTCTGCAGATGGAGAGAACGAGGTAGAGCCTGGGAAGGCATTTCCACACCCTGCAGCCCCCGGGGCACCCTGGACACGGCCCATGGGCCCTGTTTCCAGTCCTGCTGTTAAACAAACATCAGCCCCATGTTAGGCAGCCACCGAGGCAGCTCAGCAGACTCTAACTCTGCTCTACTCATCTTCCTCCAAAATATTCATCCGTGTACATGTTTAAGGCCAGAAAACAAGGCAGAGAGTAAGTCTCCAATCCAGAAAATCACTTAGGTGGTCCTGGCAGCTTTATCCAAGCAATGATTTGCACTAAATTCAGTGAAACTTCTCACCAAAAAATTAACAAATTAAGTGCTTTTCTGGATTGGTGCTGGGCTTTTTTCTCCCCTCCCAGTTCAGAGGCAGACTGCAGACACCAGCATGTGAAAAGATCGAGCAAGAGGAAATCTTGCTTCCTTTCAGTAGGAGGGTTTTCTCCTGTCATAAAACTCCCAACTTCCAGATGCAGTGGCCCATTTCAAGTTCCATTGAAGAGCCAACCTGACAGGCAAATAAATAGCTGGTAACAAACAGGCATCAAGGGGCTCTTAGAACACCTTACTGGCAAGTACAGTGGTTTGCCACAGCTCTATCAAATAAGCATTGCCTAACACAAAACCCTCAGAAATCTCTCTGCGGATAATCTCGTTGGCCTCATATGGCTGAATTAATTTCAGGAAGTAGCTGACTCACAACCGGACTCAAATTGAGATCCTATATTCATAAGGGAGTGGAGGAAGCAATAAACCCTGTAATCAAGAGCTGTCAGTGGAATTATTAAAAAGCCACAACACTAACAATGAAATATCTTCTCTGCTCACAGACACCCGCTGCACAGACAGGAAATTCTTAACCACCAAATCCAAAGGGTTCGTCGCTCTCTCGAGCTTTCCCGGGGCTGGGAACACGTGGGCTCGCCATCTGATAGAGCACGCCACAGGCTACTACACGGGGAGTTACTACTTCGATGGAGCCCTCTACAACAAAGGTACTGCGTCCGAGCCCTTCCGAGGCAGCAAGGTTTCCCCACTGCTCTGGCGATTCTGCCCGAGCCAGTGACGCCCATCACTATCAGCACACATTGAAATGTAAGCATGTGGCTGAACTGAGCAGCCTCCCGCGGTGCAGGCGGCAGCAGGGAGGGCTCCCGCAGCTGTGCCTGACAGGAGCTGCCCCCAGACAGCAGCCAGGCCCTCATCTGCAGACGGGCACACTTACTGCACCGGTGCCCTGCGCACACCTCACCCTGTGGGTGAGGTGCTTCAGGAGCACATGGAACACAAAGGGTAGGTTCTGACATGTTACCCATTACTCTGGGAGGGCAGTACCCCGAGGGGACAGACATTAAGCAAGCACCAACTGCCCCTTTGCTGCATGAGGCCAAGGATCCCCCCAGCAGAGAGGGCCTGGGTGCCAGCGGCTGCGGCTCCGGAGTGGGCTCAGCTCGCCGGTACTGCCACACCAGCTTTACACCACTGCAAGGCAGGATTTGGTGTGGAAGGGCACAGACATAGAATCAAGTGAAAAAGCCAACAATCCTGTCTTGTAAAACAGGTTTTAAAGGAGAAAAAGACCACTGGAGAAGTAGAAGGACTATCTGTGTGAAAACACACGAAAGTGGCAAGACAGAGATTGAGATGTTTGACTCAGCAATCCTGTTGATAAGGAACCCGTACAAATCACTGATGGCAGAGTTCAACAGGAAATACGCCGGACACCTGGGCTATGCCACTGACCGCAACTGGAAGAGCAAAGGTAAGCACTGCCCTGACACAGACAGGTCTGGAAGCCGTGTCCTCGGCAAGGGAAGGGGGGATGCACTGCAGCCTGAGCAAGCACTGCAAACAGATTTAGTGGACTCGAGTCCTGTTGCAGCTGAGGTCAGTCCCAAAAGCACTCGGAGCTGCACTGTGGGAGCACCTGTGGTCTTGCCCTCCACCCATCCCCGTGGAGAAGAGGGGGAGCACAGCACCAGCACTGCAGCCACAAGCACACAGGAGCATCACTGCCATTGCACTGTTGGACAGAGAAAGCATGTCCAGGTACAACACTCCTGTGCACAGCCCATTTGCCAGGCTGTGTGAGGTGAAGAAAATTTGCCCCTGCAGCATGTAATAACCATGAGAAATCTAATTTAGAATTTGGAGGATCCAATGGAGCATGACATTTCCTGAAGGAAATTTTACAGCATTGCACAGGTGCTGCTGCACTGCAGATAAATAAAGATAATAGCAATAAGGGGACTTGAGATTCAGTGTCCCCGGAACACTGAGCCTGCCTGCGACGCTTCACGCGTTTGACTGGCAAGTTGGCTGGTGACTGCAGTTTCCCCACTGGATGTGCTGCTGCATTCAGACTGCAGCAGAAAAGATGTTTGGCTCCTATTCTCCTTGTACATACTTTAGGCATTACAGCTGTGGCTGGGCACAGGGCTGGGAGGGGGAGCATCCTGTGTCACAGCACATTTCTCTCCCAGGTTCATGTATCACCTTTCATCAGTCACAACTCAAGACCTATTCATCAAAAAGCAAACAAAATAGCCCTTAGAAACGAGAAAAAGTCTGGAGGGAAAGGCTTTCCTGTACTGAAAACTGCAGTTACATTTCAGCCACGAAGGCTCTTTGTCCAGCCCATAAGCTTTTGCTGGGTCCATCCTGACCTTCAGGGAATTAAATTATCACAGACAGCAAATAGAGATATCATTCACGGCCAAGGAGAAGTGCTGAAAAGCGGCATGGCTAACAGTGTTTGTTCTCCTGGTCCCCCAGAGTGGCCGGATTTCGTGAACAGCTATGCCTCCTGGTGGGCCTCCCACGTGCTGGACTGGCTCAAGTATGGGAAGCGCCTGCTGGTTGTCCACTACGAGGACCTGAAGCAGAGCCTCATCCCCAAGCTGAAGGAGATGGTGGAGTTCCTGAACGTGACAGTGACAGAGGACCGGCTGCTCTGTGTGGAGAACAACAGGGAAGGGAATTTCAAGCGGTCTGGTGCTAAGCAAAAGGATTTTGAGCCATTCACCCAGGAAATGAAAGATCTTATCAACAGATACATCCTGACAGTGGATGAAGCCCTGAGGGGAAGAAACTTCACAGGGCTGCCCAGGGAGTATGTGCCAAGATGATACTCTGGTAGCACTTTGCTGTGGTTAAAAATAAAGTATTTTTTTCTTAAAAAATAAAAATTAAAAAAAGGGAGGGAGAAAAAAAAAGGAAAAAAAGACTAGACCTCTCTAGCAGTTAAAGCAAAGATATTCGTGGAGGTTGCTGAGCAGCGCAGATTCTCTCCACTCTTGGGGGTTCTTCAGGGCACTAAGTGCTCCAGAAGGCAAGCAATGGAGGATGGAAATTGGGTTATAAACCAAGGCAAAAAGCTATTAGAGTCTACCTGTGCATGCTCAGACTGTCCCACGGAGCATCCCTGCCCCGCTGAAAGCTGCTGCCACCACAGACCTGCCGGGGGCTGCTCAGGGCTCCACAGCAAACCTGGCCCAGGGGCATGGAGGAATCCCCAGAGGGTGGCAGAGCTGGGGGTGCCACTGTGCTAGGGGCTTGGCACAGGTTTCTGCACCTCCAGCACTGCACCTAGAGAGTCGCAGTGGGTCTAGGGAGACACTGGGACCAAATGTCACTGCAGTAGGTGCTCTTGGTGCTAAAGTGGCCATGGCCAGACTATACTGACATCAGCCTGGACCAGCTGGGGAGTGGAGGCAAAGGGGATGAGCACCAATGCTGCTGGCCCCCAGCAGGGGTAGCATCCCACCTCCCCTCTCATCCCTGCAGGAACTCCAAGGCAGTCCAACATGAAGAACCACAGCTGCTTACAGCTACCCTCTGGAGCCACCCCCACAGGTGGGTTTGATTTCTAGCTCCTGCAGTTCCCTGTGGTTCATTCCACCTGGCACAGGGTCTGGGCGTGGTGTGGAGGGAGTGGGGCACGCAGGGCAGCTGACCCCAGCCCTTTGAAGGTGCAGAAATACTTCAGAGAGAGAAATTGCTTTTGGCCTCACTGAATTATGTGCCTGACACCACAGACCAGAATTTGGGCCCACCATGAAACACTAAGATTATGAGAGATATTTTATTACATTGCCTTTCCAGCCTGGTATAGCTCTACAGGATCATTTAAAAAATATTTTGATCATTTCAAACCTGTAAATGCTGAGTAAGGACAGGCTGTGAACTCTCAAGAAGGCAATTTAATTGTGTCCTGCAATGAAGACTCTTGGTGGCTAAAACTAGAATTGACAAAAACTATGAATACGCATTAGCTCTACGATGCCAAAAATCGGCTCATTTAAAAAAAGAAATTGCAGCTAACCATTTCTTAATAGCTGAGGTACAGGGACTGCCTCTCTTCACATGTTGTATAAGATGTGTGTACACATTATATACATTACACATCTGTACATACACACACATGAACACATCAGCTTGTGTATGTCCTGCCAGGGCTCATTTAGGACTGTAGGAAGGACTTCTTGGACCATTGCACACAATCCATGCCACCTCCTGTACCACCACGTGCAAGTCATCCACACAAATATACTGACTTCTGTCTCACAAACAGCTGCATTTTTACCCCTTTCTCTCCTAGGGAAAAGGGTGCAGAATGTTTTCCTCTACTCGTCAGGAACCATCTCCAGACCAACAGCCTGAACAGAGGCAGAGCTCATGCTGCACTCCACATTCTTTTTGGCCAGCATTGCCCTTTAGCTGAAGCTGCTCTTCTTCTTGGCCTTGAAATGTGCTCACTGGCATCGATCACATCTACTCTCAAGTGCCACCTTGCAAGGGCAAATATTCCATGATGCTCTACCTGATTTCCCTGCAAGGCAGGTTTGCCTCCACTCAAGAAACTCTATGCTTTAATTAACCAGGACGCCTTAGTCGCAAAAAAAGAGCTATCATGGCACTGAAAGCCAAGTTGATGTTCACTCCATGTACATTTTCCTTCTTATTTTGTATTCCATAGCAGCGTATTAGAAATGGAAGAAATATGCATGCAATTCCCTCATGCTTTCAGTTTTCCCCAGGAAGTCATGAGTCATAAGCAGGCAGCCAGAACAAAACAGATGCTATGTTTGAAAAAGGAGAGTGTTTGACACTTGAGATTTTGAAAGCAAACAACAATCACAATAAACAAGGTGGGATTCAGATTTTCCATTGAACTGCAGCTCCATTCTGTCCTGCTGCACACCTGGATTCAGGTCACCCTGGCCACTCTCCTGCTCGATCCCAACTGCTCTGCTGTTGACTCAAGAGCTCAAAACCAGCCTCTAAACACATCAAGTTCAACTAGCTTTTAAGAAGTAACTAAAGCTTTGCATTTCTCCTCTCCTTCCAGAAAAGCCTCTGCAAGGACCTGCATTTGTAGATACCCTCCCGATCACTCTGCCACCCACACAGTCCATCACGTGCCCCAGGTGCTCTGAACTGAAGGGTCTAGTTGCTCAAGCTGCCATCCCTAAAGACAACAGGCAGTGATGATGCAGGGGGAGTCATTCCCCACCAACCAGACCAGATATGAAACTGCCACATGCACATGAGCATGCTGCAGACACACTGCAAGGGCACACAGCAGAAACCAAGTCTTGGCAGGCCTGAACCTTCCCCCATCAAAGCAAAGGTCCTGGAAAACTTTTACTCATAGGTGGGAGACAACCTCTCTATAGAGAGACTAGGTCAGTCTCTGAATTAGAGACCTACTCACTCCTCGAGTGCACTTGTACTCCTCTGGAGTGGGGGTCAGGAAAAGAAAAAAGCCGGTAAACCATACTAGGAAGAGAGGACATAATAGGAAAGAAAATGGGTTTGCTTCCTGGAAACCAACTGCAAAATAAAGCCTTTAAAGCAATCCTAAGAAGCATGAATGTCATTGCCAGCAATTCAGCCTTTCTGCACAGCTTTATTAATTTTCCAATAAACCCTTTCCTTTTATACCCATTATTCACTGCTAAGACCAAACTACTACTCTACTACAGCAACATTAACCTCCACCAAATAATTAAAGGATGGATTATCAGCATGAGACCTTACGTGTCACCTCTCTGGAACCCAATGTGTCTTCCAGTGGCCTGGAATATAATGAGATGTTCAAATATAGAAAGTTGAGTTACTGCTTTCCTCAGCTGTGACATTTATTCAGTCAGAAAGATCCAACTTCTCAACTGCATTACTTACAACTTACTTTTGACCCCGAGTAGTTGAGAGCAATCTTTAAGGAAGCTATCCCTTTGAATCCCTTTTTACATTAGCATTTAATTACTCTCACAAATTCCAGATGTACAAATTATAATGGACTGTAAATCAGCTCTTCCCCTTTGTACGACAACGTGGCATTTTTGAGCCTTCGGCATACTCAGATCAGCAAACACATCTCTCTCTCAGCTCTTGCTCCTCACAGCACCTATTTATCTTAGCTACTGGTTTCCAGATCAAGAGTTTTTCCCCATCACAGGACTCTACCTACCACCCAAACACATCACGTGAATCAGTGTCAAGCAATCCCTCAAATGAAGAGAGATACAACTGAAGTGCATTATTAAATGAAATTTTTTGTGTGATAGTTGAGATGGTGTGATAGGCTCAAAGATGTTTTAAATGATCACAGCTCTAATGGAGGAAATGAGATACCATCAATCTGGTCTCTCCACTCCCTCCTACTGCGGAGCTGTCCCCTCCCTGCCCAGGGGAGGGTGGTCTGCAGTCACTATCTTGCCTTCTGCCTCCCTGGGGACACCAGGCAGGAATTTTCCGCGGTTCGAGGCTCACCAGAGCCTTGGCTAGAGCTCCTTCAGGACCTGCCCCAGTGCAGGGAAGAGCATCAGGCTGCCCACTGTCACCTTTCAGCAGCACCAAACAGAGCTCCAAGTCACAAGCAGGAGATGCTATGGAATTGCAAGCTCTTACAGTGACTGAAGATGAGATTAATTTCCTCATGTGGACATAGTGAAGAGATCTTTGAAGGTCAGTTCTGCAACAGTGGAGTGGGTCTGAAGCAAACTGCATCGCTGGAGCAGTTCCTGCAGACACACAGGGACTGGATTGTGCACAGTTATCCTGAAGGCAGTACAGATATCTTAAAAATCCAAAGTCTGTGGTTATGTCAGAAGCTGCATTAACCTATAATGCTTCTGAAATAAAGCACTTAGCACCACCCTGGCAAAATTAGACACCTCATTTCATGGAAGAAAATGGAAGTTACAACGAATGAAAACACAGAGCAGGAAGTGATTTAAAGGCAACACCTTGCTAATGACAAGAACATTTCTTTGACGAGTGGGGTTATAAAGGAACAGCCTGAAGTAGAGCTGCATCCTTCATGAAGCATCAAATATGCTGGAAAATAAACCAAATCTTCCATGCTGACTTACCCCATTACAATGATGTTCTGGAAAATTGTCAAACGCACACGAATACACACACGTGTGATCACACGGACGGTTGGTCCCACGTCCTCTGCTGGGGGTCAGGGGTCTGTGCCTGCCTTGAGCCCCTCGGGGTGCACAGGGCTGGGACCCCCATCCTGCAGCAGGGAGGGCACGGCCGGGACGGGAACGGCTGCACTGCAGCCGCCGCTCTGCACAGCATTGCTGGTAAAGAGCGTGCAGGACATTTGTTTTCTTAGAAATGTCTTTCTTTTGCAGTCACTCATTTAAATGGATTCCACTGTGCCTGTTCTATGCCTCTCTTCATTCCAGCAGAGACTAAATTAAGCTTTGAAGTTTAGTGAGAAATCCTAATGGCATCCAACTTCAACACTATTGCCTGAATCCTGGGGAATTTAAGGAAGGGGGAGAGCAAGAGGAGAGAAACTACTCTTCTTTTATTGTTTCTCTGCAGACTGATCCCAGAAGGACTGACTTTGAAAATAACCTTAGTGCCTAACTTTATGCATTATTCATATATACTAAAACATGTAAATACAGTTTTCAAAGGTTAAAATAAAACTCCTTTCCTGTACAGGCTACAATTACTTAATATTTTGACACAGCAACTTACATCATTAATATTAAACAGGAGGAAAAAAGTGACCTAAAATGAGCATGTACTTTTCTAATCAGTATGGAACACCTACACATTGCTCAGGAAGCTGGCAGGGTACAAGCATGCACAAGGTCTTCCAAAGGGGAGGGAAGAGTAAAGCACTGTAATTTTGCATAAAACTGTAGCTGCCAGTTTGCCCCA